ACTGATAAGGCTGCACTGATATGCAGCACTGATGTTCACTGATATGAGGCACTGATGGGTGGCAGTGATAGGTGGCACTGATGGTCACTGATAGGCACCACTGATGGGCACTGATTGATGGCACTGACAGACATTACTGATGAGTATTGATGGGCACTGATAACCGACACTGACGTGCACTGTAAGGGGGCACTAATGGAGCTACACTGATAATCAGGGCACTGTATTATCAGTGTAGATGTCCTCTGTTCAGAATGCCGATTACTGGTTCTCCTCTCCTCATGCGCTGTCAGCGTGAGGATAGGACTGCAGATGACTGGCATGTGTTTATGCATGTGGTCACATGATGAAGGGACCGCTCTGATTGGCCCTTTACCATGATCTGTGATCAGCTGTTTTCCAAAGGACACAGCAATCACAGATCACACCCAATGCATGTCCTATGGGGGGGGATTCTGGGAGGGACACCCTCCCAAAACTAGCTGACCACGTTGTAGTCATCTTTTGGCTAAAGCCTTCTCGGCAAATGGCTAAATAAGCAATTTATTGGTTTCAAGCTTGTGCGTGTGGCATGGACCTATAATGATTGTAGTAAATCAGACTCCAGCAATTTTGTGTGCAAACAGAGATCTATGCACATCAGTCACAAATTGTCTGTCCATCATTTCAAAAATCATATGTGCTTTTAAAACTTGGTACTCATCATGTCCAATGAACCAAGCAGGTGTTGTCCACATAGGAGGTTGAAATACACTGATGTAGCATTCTTGTTGAATGTCCAACATCCAATATCAACTAAAATCGTGGCGGAATGGGGGCACAAAACAGAGTACAAGGTAAATTGCCTGTACCTGACCTGTTTTACTGGTATTAGCTGGCTGCCTCAGAGATAGGGCTAAAATGCTGTCCACAGAATAGGTCTATATAAGGGGAGATGATGGGTCAAGATGGTGTTGTTGGCCTCTCATACCGTGATCTTGCATACCTGACCTCCAACATCTCCCTTCTTAATCAATGAAGAAACTAAGCTCTTTATTCACTCCCTTGTTATTTCTCAGCTTGACCTATCATGAATGGTGCTGCCCAATTCATCTACCTTACCAACTGCTCAGTGTCCACCCCCCTCTGCCAGTCCCTCCACTGGCTTCCATTTGTCCAGTGAATACATTTCAAAATAATAACAACAACCTACAAAGCCATTTACAAGGCTGCCCCAAGCTCCATCACCAATCGTGTCTCAAGATATCACCCAAACAATCCACTCTGCTCCTTCCAAGACCTTCTGTTCTCTAGATCCCTTGTCTCCTCCTCACATGCTTGCTTCCAGGACTTCTGCAGAGCCTCTTCCACCCTCTGGGACTCCCTACCCCAAAATGTCTGGCTATCTCCAACCTTGTCCATCTTTGGGCGATTCCTGAAAACTCATCTCTTCTGGGAAACTTATACCACCTCTACCTACCTAAAATATTAAGTATAAATTGTCCCCTCAGCTCATTTCTCTCATTTATTACCTTATGTACCTCTTGTCATAAACTATTAGATTGTAAGCTCTTATGAGCAGGGCCCTCCTAACCCTCTTGTAATGAAATGTACTGTACTGTCTCCTTTTATATTGTAAAGTGCTATTCAAACTGTTGTCACTATATACATTCTGTATAATAACTATACAGTTTCAAGAATGTCTGCTCCTCTCCAAGACCTGCCTCTAAAAGGACCCACACCTGAAAAATGGCACAACAATTTAAAACACAATTAAACATTCAATATTGACATTACATCCTACAGATGTAACATATTAGTTCAACAACTCCTAATGAAACCCAAACCTACCTGGTTTCTCTCTAAATGTTTTGTGCCTTTTCAATAACCCAACATTTCATCAATTCTACCTTGCCATAATGCTCAAAAATAAAATGTCTAGCAATGGGTTAGATTATTGGTCATATAATCATTTTCTCATCGTTCTCATGGTTTTCTCCACATAGAAGTCTCTGCTGGCATATACACTACACCCTTCGTACAACAATCAATATGACCCCTGCACCCAAGGAGCCTTCTAGTAGAGAAACATAAGGTAGGTTCCTCAATCATAAGTGAGCAATAGTCACATTTTGCACACTTAAATAAATCATTTTCCTCTTTTCCACTCGTCTTTGCTGTCCTTCTCTGAGAGGGTAACTAAGCAGGTATGACTTCGTGTCTTAGTGGAGACCATTTGTCGACACACGTGCCCTGTTGGTTTACCATATCACCACCACCAAAGAGGACATGTTTTGGCAGATACTGATTTGGTACAACTGCCTTGTCTTACCAAATATACTTTAGTCTACTATAAAGGACAAAGCTATATGAGTCTCCAGAATTAGATATGGTTTCAGTTGGTACGTCTGACATGTGCAGAGTGATTTAAGTTGATTCTTGGAATTGGATGAAGACACGTTCTGGTGGATACTAGTTCCATGTGACTGTCACATGCTCCCTGGCTGGTGTTATATTATTTATTTTTTTGTAAGAGTTGGTCCTTTTTTTAGCCATTTGAGGGCACACCTTGAGAAGTTGCACCTGTTTGTTTCAGCATCACAGTTTTATCTTGTCTTTGAGGGTCCATATTCACACACAATCCTATAATCAGAGTTTATCCTGAGGAAGGCAAAAACCAATAAAGCACAATCCAGTTTGCTCCAGATGGGGAAAAAAATGTCCTTCCTAAACCCCCAGCAGGCATTCAGATATACCCTGGATCAACCACTCCTGGTGTTATTACCTGTAAATATTGTGATGTATAGGAAAATGTTAGTGGCAGTAAATTGTATGCATTTTGGAGGGAGCTGCCCATTTAAAACAATCTGTTGAGCTGACCAGAACTAGTTCTTGAGGGAGTCTATTCCACATTTTCATGCTCTTACTGTAAAGAAGACTTTCTATATGTGAAGGTTAAATCTCTTCTACCCTAGACATAAGGAGTGCCCCTTGTCCTCTGCAATAAACTGAAAGTGAATAACTCTACTCCAAGTTCACTATATGGAACGCTTATGTATTTTTATACGGTGATCATATCCTCCTCAATCGCTTCTTCTCAAGAGAGAATAATCATTTGTACAGGGAAGCCTCATTTATATTTATGTGAGGCCTCATAAGATTGGGGTCATATCGATATCAGGAGGATGTTATACAAAGATATGTATGTTTATAGTGCTGTACTTTCTTATACAATTGCATGGAAACTGACCCTATAGGGATGGGACAGGATACATTTATGGAATGTTTTTTATTGTATACCAAGTGACCATCACTGTTATAAGCAATAACAGTGTAAAAAAAAAATCCCGATCTACTGCCAGAGTAGTACAATGTCACTATGGTGACACTGAACTATTCTGATGACAGTATGTAAAAAAAAAAAAAGTATTTAAAAAAATGTTAAAAAGGAACAAAAATTGAAATAAAATCATATTTATTTATTTTTGACATACTGTCATCAGTCAGTATCCCTGATCACTACCACACCAGTCATATAATGCTGCTGTACTGCACTGGTGACAGTAATAAAGAAAACAAAATTGTAAAAAAAATTTTTATTTTATTTCTTCATTTTCCAAAAAATTGTGAGAAAAAAATTACAATTTCAAAAAATTCACCATGTCTCTTAATAAATACCTTGGGCTGTCTATGTTCCAAAAAGGGGTCATTTTGGGGGTATTTATATTGTCCTGCCATTTTACGGCCTCAATAAATAAGATAGGCCATCAGTACATCAGGACTGATCAATTTTCAAATATACAGTGTATATACGCCATAGTTTGTAGACTCTAGAACTTTCACAGAGATCAAATAATATACACTGATTTGGGTTTTTTTTTTTATCAAAGACATGTAGCAGAATACATTTTAGCCAAAATGTATGAAGAAAGATTATTTGTTTGCAAAATTTTATAATGGAAATTAAGCCAAATTTTGTTTTTTTTGTGTAATTGTTGGTATTTTTTTTCCACGTATTAAGCATAGTGCTGAATAGCAAAAAAATGCCTCGGTAATGAAGGAGGTAAAACCTTCTGGAGGTCAAGTGGCTAAATACTCATTATATGCAGAATATTTAATTCTGTCAATAAAAGAGGGTAATAGTCTGAAGCTGAATGCAATGATGTCATTGTGGAGACCCTGACCTTATATACAGGGCAGTGAGGGGTGATTGTTCCCCTTCCCATGTCACTATGAATAGATGCTCTGAAAATGGCACTGCATTGTCATTTCATCACTGTCCCTATTCCTAGATGAAATCCTCAAGCTGGACGCATTGTGTTTTGAAATGTGATCTCTTTTATGAACATGCTACAAGTGCTTGGAATGGTCTTCCCTTCAAGGCGCTCGGTGTTAGTGGAGTAACTGCTTGTGTGCTGTAGTAACCAAACACAGATAAGATGCCGTTACTAAGACATACCCTGCCAGGCTGGCAAAGGAGATGCAGTGTCCTCATCCTGGCTCCCAGCTCGGTTTTATAGGCATGTTCATTAAGGTTATTTATTCTGCACAAAGATAAATGATTGACAATTGCTGGCCCTCTACCCCCTATGGACCACCCTAATCTTCACATTTCCACTATGGGCTTATTGAGCTGACAATGAACTTTCCATCAGACATGAATTCCAAGAGATTTATTTTTTTTAGGGGCAAACCAAGCTTCTTTTTCAGCTGCATTCACACTTAAGTATTTTGTGAACACAACAAAATATGTGGTTAAAGAGAATATGCTGCATGAGCTACTTAGATACATTTGTTATGTGTAGGACATCCCACCGAAATGCTGCAAAGCAGGCAATTGAAATGAATGAGCTGCCCTATGCACATAGTGCAACAACACGCACATGTGCGATGCCTGCTGTTGCATATCATAGTGTGAATGTGAATTACTGTATTTTTCGCTCCATAAGATGCACCTGACCATAAGACGCACCTAGGTTTTAGAGGAGGAAAGCAACAAAAAAAATATTCTGAACCAATGGACTGCAGACATAGTACAGGAAATGACCAGAGACTGCAGACACAGTACAGGAGATGACCAGAGACTGCAGACATAGTACAGGAGATGACCAGAGACTGCAGACATACTACAGGAGATGACCAGAAACTGCGGACATAGTACAGGAGATGATCAGAGACTGCGGACACAGTACAGGAGATGACCAAAGACTGCAGACACAGTACAGGAGATGACCAGAAACTGAGGACATAGTACAGGAGATGACCAGAGACTGCAGACAGTACAGGAGATGACCAGAGACTGCGGACAGTACAGGAGATGACAAGAGAATGCAGACATAGTACAGGGAATGACCAGAGACTGCGGACATAGTACAGGAGATGACCAGAGACTGCAGACATAGTACAGGACATGGCCAGAGACTGAGGACATAGTACAGGAGATGACCAGAGACTGTGGACATAGTACAGTCAGGAGATGACCAAAGACTGCAGACACAGTACAGGAGATGACCAGAGACTGCGGACATAGTACAGGAGATGACCAGAGACTGCGGACACAGTACAGGAGATGGCCAGAGACTGCGGACATAGTACAGGAGATGACCAGAGACTGCGGACACAGTACAGGAGATGACCAGAGACTGTGGACATAGTACAAGAGATAACCAGAAATTGCGGACATAGTACAGGAGATGACCAGAGACTGCGGACACAGTACAGGAGATGACCAGAGACTGCGGACATAGTACAAGAGATAACCAGAGACTGCGGACATAGTACAGGAGATGACCAGAGACTGCGGACATAGTACAAGAGATAACCAGAGACTGCGGATATAGTACAGGAGATGACCAGAGACTGCGGACATAGTACAGGAGATGACCAGAGACTGCGGACATAGTACAAGAGATAACCAGAAATTGCGGACATAGTACAGGAGATGACCAGAGACTGTGGACATAGTACAGGAGATAACCAGAGACTGTGGACATAGTACAAGAGATAACCAGAGACTGCGGACATAGTACAGGAGATGACCAGAGACTGTGGACATAGTACAAGAGATAACCAGAAACTGCGGATATAGTACAGGAGATGACCAGAGACTACAGACATAGTACAGGAGATGACCAGAGACTGCAGACATAGTACAGGAGATGACCAGAGACTACAGACATAGTACAGGAGATGACCAGAGACTACAGACATAGTACAGGAGATGACCAGAGACTGCAGACATAGTACAGGAGATGACCAGAGACTGCAGACATAGTACAGGAGATGACCAGAGACTACAGACACAGTACAGGAGATGACCAGAAACTGCGGACACAGTACAGGGGATGACCAAAGACTGTGGACATAGTACAAGAGATGACCAGAGACTGCGGACATAGTACAAGAGATGACCAGAGACTGCGGACATAGTACAGGAGATGACCAGAGACTGCAGACATAGTACAGGAGATGACCAGAGACTACAGACACAGTACAGGAGATGACCAGAAACTGCGGACACAGTACAGGGGATGACCAAAGACTGTGGACATAGTACAAGAGATGACCAGAGACTGCGGACATAGTACAAGAGATGACCAGAGACTGCGGACATAGTACAGGAGATGACCAGAGACTGCGGACACAGTACAGGGGATGACCAAAGACTGTGGACATAGTACAAGAGATGACCAGAGACTGTGGACATAGTACAAGAGATGACCAGAGACTGCGGACATAGTACAGGAGATGACCAGAGACTGCGGACATAGTACAGGAGATGACCAGAGACTGCGGACATAGTACAGGAGATGACCAGAGACTACAGACACAGTACAGGAGATGACCAGAAACTGCGGACACAGTACAGGGGATGACCAAAGACTGTGAACATAGTACAAGAGATGACCAGAGACTGCGGACATAGTACAAGAGATGACCAGAGACTGCGGACATAGTACAGGAGATGATCAGAGACTGCGGACAGTACAGGAGGTGACCAGAGACTGCAGACACAGTACAGGGGATGACCAGAGACTGCGGACACAGTACAGGAGATGACCAGAGACTGCGGACATAGTACAGGAGATGACCAGAGACTGCAGACATAGTACAGGAGATGACCAGAGACTGCGGACACAGTACAGGAGATGACCAGAGACTGCAGACATAGTACAGGAGATGACCAGAGACTGCGGACATAGTACAGGAGATGACCAGAGACTGCAGACCTTTGGGGAGAGGGGGGAGGGGAGCTGGTACCCAAATTTGACAGGTACCGGCTCCCACTTCTGCTGTAATCGCCAAGGTGATCGGAAGTTGAAATTGTCCTCCCTCCCCGTAGTCTTCTGGGACACGTGACAGGTCCCAGAAGACTACGGGGCCATTCACAAAGTGCAGCTCTTCTCGAGCATGTGTAGTGGGCACCCAGCTGTGAAGCCACAAGCTGTCACACAGATTGCCCACACTGAAGATGCCCTCGCCAGGGAGAGAAGGCCGGTGAAACCAGTGATGGTGAGGACACTGCTGTACTGAGGGACAAGTAAGTGGCTGTATTTTAAAAAACTCTGCTGCACTGCTGACTCGGACTCCTCCTCTCTTCTGCCACAGAAGAGCCCAGCGGCCGGCCCAGTGTTCTAACACGGCGGCAGCGGGAATACCAGACCGGCCGCTCCATATTCGCTCCAAAAGACGCACAGATATTTCCCCCCCATTTTTTTGGGGGAAAAAGTGCATCTTAAGGAGCGAAAAATATGGTACTTTTAAAAATCCAAATATTATTTTTTTGAGGGGTAAACAGGGCTTTCGGATTATTTTCTATCTCATAGATATCCATTGGGATATTTATTCAGCTGTTTCTGGACAGAGGGAATACTCTCTATCCTCTACTGCAACTGAAAGTTTGAAAACAACAATTGGAACTATAGTTGCAAATACAACTTTTACAGTATTCTGATACTTGTAACACTGGCTGTTTTCACACTGATCTGCTTTTGGCGCGTTCTTCAGTTAAAAAAAGCAGCAGAGAACTGCATCCCTTTAAATCCTATGTAACTCTTCACCTGGTCCGTTGCACTTCAGTTGCAGTTAAAAAAATCCCGCTTTCTGCATTTTTGGTGCATTTTTGGGCTGGTAAAAAAAAGCACCAAAAACTCATCCCCCCATTGAAATGAATTGAAACCGCATCAAAAATGCAATGCACCTGTGGGAAATTCTCAAGCTGGGGTTCACAGAATCGTATGACAAAGGAAATCACATTATATTCAATGATGCCCTTCTAATCAACTCAGCATAGTGCGATTTTGGAGAAAGTTCCTGGTGGACATCAGTGACATTTCAGCCCCATAGACTTCTATGTTATCTCACAAAAGTCACATCAGCATAGATGAGAAGCATTCCTATGCAACTTTGATGGATTCAGTGTTTTTATATTTAACCCTCACCTCTCCTCTCTGGTCATCCTTGCTGCCTAAAGGTTAGGTTCACACTGAAGCGGTTTTGATCCTTCCTTTGATCGACCCTTTCTTCAATCAATCAACCCTTCCTCAGTGACACATTAGTGTCAGTTAGTGTACTTCCCAACAACGGTTTGTTAGTGCCAGATTGCCCGCCACACATTCACAGTCCCACTATAAATTGCTGATCATCAGGGCTGCCATGGGGGTGAACAGCCCATACACAAGTAGGGAACCCAGGTGTCCTGAGGTGCCCCAACCAACGAGTTGTTGCCTGGCGTTCCACCACTGTGGGGGGGCCTACTGATCATTGGTTCTTCTAGTTCTAGTTAGTGTGCCCTAGTTAGCGTTTGGAGCCGACTCTGTCATCAGCCAGGTGCATGTGCAGTGGGTCCCACGCACCAAGTTAGAGGCGGCGGCTCCATAGACAGTGTCTGTGTGCAGGAATATGGCAGCACAATGCCGGCTTTGTCATCAGCTGGGTGTATATGCGGTAGGTCTCTAGTGGTGTCTTCACTGGCAGGTGCTTGTGAGGATTATCTGCAGCACATTGTATATTACTGTCTGACTGCTCCTCTCCTCTGTGCACTTGAAGTGTGATCAACAAGGAAAGGCAGCCAAGAGCATTCTGATGTACATTCCATTCCTTACCTAATGGGAGTGCATTAGATTTAGTTTTTAACACTCTTTATTAGATGAATTTACAGTAGGGTGATTATGCTCTCTTTTGTTTTTGGTTGATCACATCCCCTCCCACCACCATCACCGCTGCCACTGATCCCAAACCACCGCCGCCACCAATACCACCACTGCCACTAATCCCATCCCCCCCGCTATCACCACCACTGCCACTGATCCCACCCCCCCTACCACCATCACCGCTGCCACTGAAACCATCCCCCCCACTACCATCACTGCTGCCACTAATCCCATCCCTCCCCCACCGCTGCCACTGATCCCATACCCCACCAGCAGCCCTGCTACTGATCCCATCCACCACCATGGCCACTGATCTCCTCCAGGGGCTTAACTACAGGGGTCACAGGGATCACAGTTGTAACCCGGCCCCATGCTCCAGGAGACCTGTGCATCCCCTGTACACCAGGGGATAGAAGAGGTGGCAGGGGCGGCATATAGAGGAACCGATCCTTCCATTTCTCTCCTGCAGCTGCTGACTACCCACTTTCCCTTCTTTCCCTCCCGCATGCAGCAGCTGTAAAAGGAAGATGGAGGAATTGGTTCCCCTTTATGCCGCCCCTCCTATTCAGCTTCTTTCTGCTGCCCCAGGGCCCCTGTGCTCTCCCCTTAGCCACCCTGAGCTCTTTACTGGCCACCCCCTCCCCCCATAGTGCTGCCAGCTTCCCCTCCTCTCTTCCACTGGCTGCTGCAGGAGATGTGTCAGGATGGAGAGCGTGAAAAGGGCTGGTTAATATGTCATTTTCTGACTCCTTGTCTTAATGAATAGAGTCAGTGATTGGTACAGATCACTGACTCTGTCCATTCAGAACTGGAACATAGTAAACTGTGTTTACTATGCTTCAGTTTGTGAATGAATGGGAAGCTCTGTACAGAGCTATTCCTGTCCATTTATTCTGTGCAGCTGTGGTTGTAAAGTAACGTCTGTGTCCTCAATATACTTTCTCTGTCTCAAAGTTGAAACATCAGAGGTCTTTTTAGACCCCTGATATTTCACCAAAGCCCAATAATGGGGCTGCTAAAAAAAAATTAAAAAGTAATAAATAAATATTGTAAAAAAAAAACAAAACAAAATAGTAACAAGTAATAATAATACAAAAAATTAACTACTACACCAGTGGCAGCTTTTTATTGGATATGTTTTATAATAGAAAGCAGAAAATATAATTTTTTCAACATTTTTTTTTTTTGCCTATATAATAAAAACTTGAAAAAAAACCAGTAGCGATCAAATACTACAACAACAGGTGCCACAAAATAGGGTCAGTATGAACAGCTGACTGAAAACACCAAAAAGTAGTAAAACAAGGAGGAGGGCTGTGGTAAAAACAAAAAATAATTATGAGGGGGGAGAGGGAAGGGAGCGGAGAAAAAAATAAAGATAGAAAAAAGTGCAGGCAGAAAGAAAACATTGAAAAAAGGACCAGGAACGAGAAAACCTGTAAGCAAGAGCCTCCTCTAGTAACGATAAGTACCTAAACTCGATGCAAGAAGTGAGGGATGAGCATAAGACCACCATGGATTCCATATTTTTAGAAATTTAGGGTGAGAATCATTAAGTACACTTGACATTTTCTCATGGACCATGAGAGTGGTCAGAATATTCCTCACTTCTCTGATTTGGATGTTTGGTTTCTTCCAGGCATACTTACCTATTTTCAGCTTGCTTCAGTCCAGGGGCGGACTGACAACTCATGGTGCCCCCGGGCAATAGGAGATCATAGGGCACCTGTGTCCTTGCCCAAACTCAAACAAGCCTATGAAAAAGGTACCAGGGGCATCTTATGGGGCCCCCTACTGACCCCGGGCCCTCGGGCACTGCCCGAGATTCCAAATGGTCATTCCGCCCCTGCTTCAGTCTGAGACACAGCAACGGCTGGTAGTGCCTGGGAGCAGTGATGTCACCGATAGGCTCCCATGTCCCATCCTTTGTCAGCACTTTTCCCTCTCCCCTGCAGCTGATGGCTGATCCCCCTGCAGGGGAGCAGGATCACGTGACTGGACCGGCTGAATAGATCAGTATATACATCTTTCCTACATAGGTTAGTAAGCATGTTGGACAGGGGCAAGGGTCCTCTCTATATGCTGTAATTGGGGTGCCATGTTGTGGGCTGATGCCGAGAGGTCTACCCCCTTTGTTTTTTTCTGGGCTATGCCTAGTCTGGGATCACTCTCTTGCACATAGGTTACTTTTACTGTGTTGTGCTCATCAATGCCCCGGGACAAGGTGGAGGCTGCTTTTGGGGATCACTCAACCTTAAGGTGGCCGTTCACCCATGTACACCTGAACAACTGAACTGAACTCCAGTCACTCTCTATGTCTCTGTGTCATTGTACACCTTCACTGTCCCTTGTTGCATTTAGGAGGAACACGCTGAGCCTATGGCCACTCCACCTGTCCAGCGTATCCCTGCTACCTCTCTCCCAGTAACGGGAGTAATGGAGTCTAGCGTGGACTCCATGCTTGCTCTCTTCATTAACTCTTCCTCTTCAGTACCCACGACCAAGCTGGGGACCTCTGCGGTGCTGGTCTGTATGGGAGATGGACCGCAAACGGAGAGAGTGCTGACAACAACTCCCTTACCACTAGAGGACATCACAGGTAAACAATTCACGACAGGCTGCTTGTACTGGCTGTTAGAGCTCCAATACCCCTGGTAACCACTGCTTTTACTCTTTAGCATGTTAACTTTTGTACTGCTGTCTTCATGCCCAATGTACTTACTAACCCCAGATGTAGAGTATGTGTGGTGCCAGTTACTCTCATACACCCCTTGTATAACTTCAGACCAAGCATGACACAGTTGTAATGCTTTACTTGAATAACATTACAGATAACAGAGTAATAGTTCTGTCCTAACCTAGTCCCTAACTCAGACCTGGCTGCCCCAGCATACCTGCACAGGTGAAGTCCACAAAAAGGAAAGTCCACTAAGGCAGTTCTCCAGCAGCTAGTGTTCTTCAGGATGGACTTCAGATTCCAGCAGTCCCCCTACATGATGAAGATTCCAAGACACAGGACCACGGCAGAAGGCAGTGGCAAGACTGAGGGCCAGTTCACACTACATGTGTTTCAGTTGCTTTTTTCTGTATCCAAAATGCACAGAAAGTAGGTTATATGGTTGTCAGTGTCATAGTTCACATCAATGCTTGCAGTTCCAGTGAGTTCCTGTTGCAGAAAAAAAAAGTAGAATAGGCTGCATTTTTCCTACACAGAACTGTACTGAAACGTGGTAAAACACATCAAAA